GCATCCGCCATCCAGGTGGTAGTCAATCGGTTGGAAATCGGGCAGATGCAGGGCGCCGACCGGCGCATGAGAAACGAAGCGGTCAAGCTCACAACGGAGCTAGCCCCCCGGCCTTCATAGTAAATGCCGTACAACTGAGTGTCTCAAGTTTCAAGACCGACGTTGGCCTGACCGTTAGGTCTGCGGTGGTAACGGGGGCTCTGAGACAGCCCAGTCATTCTGCGTAGCATGAGACAACGACCGTTGTTGGCATTATGGCAGTGCGGTCAGTGGGTGGACGCGAGGGGAGAGGACGGGTATACCTCATTCTCGACCCGCGTGCCATACTCCCAGTCCCCCGAAGGCCGATACCCTAGTCCCAGATCCACGATTGATTGGCGCTGCAAGGCGCAAGAGGGCAAACTCGACTGACAAGCTCTCTCACGCCTCTTCTGCCCTGTCGATATTTGTCGGTCGGTCGGTTCTGGAATTCCCCGTCAGACCCTGTTCGAGCTAGGTTGCCCAAACGCCAGTGGGCGGAAGAAACCAGCCAGGGTGCGGATACCTTGGGGCAAGGCAAGGCAAGGCAAGGCAAGGCGACGCCGAGCCTTGTCCAGGGCAAGCAAGCTCAGGGCTACGTCCAGCTGGCAGCTGGGGCTTGAACTTGCCCAGCCACATTTGCTCCACGGGGTTCCCGGAGCTGGTGCATGTCTGCCATGTTGATTTCCAGATCTTATTCCCCATCACACATGTTTTTTGCTCCACGCAAGACCCATCTCTCCCAGATAGTAAGGTCGGTCGGACAGGTCCTTTTGTCAAAGATGTCATCTTTGAGGCGTTGAACCCAGAGATGACGACTGCGGGGTTCGGCTTGGCTTGAATTGACAAAAGGTTTTCGGAGTAGAGGGACCAAGGCGAAGAATTGGGAAGCTGCTGTGCGTTACCGTAATTTGCAAAAAAACCGATTCACGGTGCAAGAGCATGAGAAATGCGTTATCAAGCCTCAATGCTCTCCTGGAGTACTGAATCCTCGCCTGGGTACCTGACTAGTTGAGCATTGGTCTTGGTCCTATGGATGAGCTAGCACTCAGGTACACTGCTGAGTCATATTCAGATTATGGAGTACACTAACACGCAGGCTTGTGCAAGATGAGTGACTTTGTTGACCACAGCCTCGCGCAATTGAGAGAGAGAGAGAGAGAGAGGGGTTTTCGCAGCCCGAGTAGTGAGAACAGCAACCTACGTAGTAGGTATTTCCGAGTCCGCCGACCGGGTCTATCTGCCTGTCGAGTATCCCATGGGCGTGAGGAACTCAAAGAGGGACTGATTGACTGAGTCGCGAACAAGCCGAGCTTTTGAGACCCTCTGTTTCCCCCCATACTGTCCGCCTTTGCATATGTTGCTCGTGTCCTCTCCATTGCGGGCACCGGGTATTTCAAAGCTCGTCAGAACTCTCGACAGGCATTGGCTACCAAGACAGTGATCCGAGAATGCGCCTTTTTCTTTCCCTCATTTTTCCTTGCTGGGCACCTCGTTGAGGGTTAGCTAAAGGCGGACCAGAGTTGCGTGCCTGCATACACCCAACGCACAGACAACGGCGCCAGAGCCGTTTTTCTTCTCTGTTTCCACTGTCCCACAGAGGCGGGACGACTGCCTATTCGCTCAAAGGTAGAGGTAATGGAGAAGCAAAGCTGCAGGCTTGACCAGACAGGCGGGGGCCGGGGATGGTGTACGTAGTGTTAGTGGCTCAAAGAAGTCTTTCCAGCTCGTATGGCAGACCAGCAGTGAGTGTGACGGTATCCATGGCCATGACCGCAAGATACGCAGGGTAGATCTCTGTACGTATGCTGCTTCGTAATCCGCAACTCAATTCAGGTCAGCTTTCAAATCGCGTCTCGCAGCACGGCAGGCGGGTACGTAACACGGGACCGAGGGCGACTATGGAGTAGTACAGCGTATCCAGAGCTGCGTAGGTACGGACGTAGGCCAGTCCCATTTTCGAGGCGAAGGGATGATGGGGACGGCACGGTGCAGCGGTGCGGCAGAGCAAAAGCAAGCGCACATGGGAGCTTGGCTTGTCTGGTACTGCGTGCATAGTGAATCCGTAGGCCGCCAAGCGAAGCCGAGGCCATCTGCAGGGGCACCGGACTAGGTACGGCCTGGTTATCCAATAGGCATGGCAAGCAAGGTCCTAGGGACGCAGAGTGACGGTGGTGGCTTCGATTGGGTTCTGGCTTTCTGATACTGGCGATGACCGGACTAGTGGTAGGTACGGAGTACTTTCGCAGCCAGTTTCTGCGGAGCCCGAGAGACGAGAAATGCTCTCTGCATCAGTACAGCGTACGGATACTGCCAGGTTCTGCAGTACAGGGCTTTCGACTGTTCAGTGTCGAGCCGGTGAGAAAGAAAGTTTGCCAGGCCCTTATTACGTACCTTGGCTGCTTTACGCAACTGGGCGACGCAATGTGCAGTAGTCCGCAGATGACCGTACGCGGTGTGTTCTCTTTTGGGTTGAGGAAAGGAACAAGATCCCGGTCGGATTCCACGTAGTATCGGCGGGCTGGAGAAGGCACCAGGGTTGGCCGAGAGGACGGGAAGGAAATCCAGGGCTCCGGGGATGTGTCGACGAGTGAGAACCTTCAGTTCGGGACAAGAGACGCGGGTGCTTAGGTTGTTGGGATCCCGTATGCCGTATCCTGTGTTCTGGGTTCCTGGGAAGATTACGGCCAGGTGAAGGTCGGATTGGGGAGTCGCATGGAAATTGCTGCAGACTGATTCAGAACGTTGCTATGTGGGTTGGTCGCGCGGTTGTAATGAGTCGCTCTGATTGGGGAATTGATTGACATTGGGTTTGCCGGACAGAGTGAAGTGATGGACGGATAAGGCGGGCGAATTGAAGAAACGAAATGAAGCTTTCCAGACGGTCGGATAGTAAGTCATGGCTAGCCTGTCTGGCAGCTGTCTGGTAAATTGCATGTCTTTCCGGGACGAAGTGATGAATTTAGCAAATGGCGACTGACCGGGGGATGCAGGCGGGACAAAAGGGATTACTTAGTGTCATGATTGCTGTATTCGAACGAACTTGCGGAGAAAGTGCAGTGGACAACGGGAGTCGTGAATTTGATAATGAGATGAACCCTCTGCCACACTGGGAGAGAAACTATGAACACTCGTGTCTGTTGCACCTACTCAAATTTCCTCTCCCATGCTTCATTTCTCTATTCGTAAGGTACTTGCCTACTCGTACCTTCCCTGACATTGGGGCATTCGTGCCTTACTCAGACGCAGGTAGGGTAGGTTACTTGTAGTAATTAATTAGGTAGGTGCGTATCTCACGCTCTATCGGATCGGCGGCTTGCAATCTGATTATGGCCTCCCGCTCCGGCTTTGGCTCCGGCGGCCATGACTCTTACTGGTCGGTTCAAGTGGTCGTTTCCGGAAGGAAGACGGACACAAGGGAAACATGGCAGTCCGGGAAAGCGAAACCCGTTGCGTAGGAAGGAGACGTCCAAGGCGGGGAGGGGACGGGACGGGAACCTAGACCAGTGAGGTAGAGACACAGGCAGAGTCCAAAGGTAAAGAGAGGGCACAAAGAAGCAAGGCATGTCCAAAGGTACCTACCTACCTTACTCATCGCATATCCTTGCCCATTCCTGCCTATGTATCTTGGTTTTAGGTAAGACAAGGCAAGGTGCCTGAGAAAGGTACGTGTATTGACGACGGGAGCTCAAGTGTCTGACGGGAGTAGGTTGGCATCTTGCGCCTGCCATTTTGAACTTCAGTCCCCTTGAGTCCTTGACTCCTTCCGCCGTTGAGTAACCGTCGCTCCACACCGTTCTCTCCCACGAGTCCCAGTTGGCCCTAGCGTATCTCGAGTATCCACACCTGCACCTGCCTTAGTGTACTGTGTACCTTAGGTAGAACCTGGGTTGCTGCAGGAAGTACGCAGACGGCAGCATCAGCAGCACCTCCGACCTCGATTTTAACCCTTACTTTACTGTTCAGGGAGTACGTAGTTCTCTCAACAGTGTGATTGTTGAACTTTCACCGTCCCAAAACAAGGAAGGCAGGAACAGGAGAGAGGAACACACGCAGGCAAAATGTGGGAATGGAGACGAACTACAAGTCGCAACTGCGTGCTGCCCTGAACCCCACGACTCGATCCACTCGACCCAGTCAGAATCCAGGGGTCCTGCGTGCCTGCTCAATCCACCTTCAGTAAGTGGAGGTAGCCAGAATCCACAGACACATGGAACCTGGAAGGAACTTGGGTTGGCGACTGCAACTGCAACTGCAAGTCTGCAACTCGTGGCACGACGAACCCAAGGCCGGTCAGTCTTTTAGGGCTTTTTCTCGCCCTCTCTATTCGTACATGCTGCATGCAGATTATCAAAGTACCTGGCCGGTCATTTACTCGCGAGTTGTCCGCTCAATCAATGTGGCATCTTCCATCAAGTCCATGAGCAAGCCTTGATCACCAAGTCATGCCTCCAGAGTCCAAATTACATCGGTATTGACACTCGACTCGAGCCCAAGGCGGCACAGGCGGCGGTTGGCTTGCGTTGCCGTAACTGAGGTGGGGTAATCGGCGATATCTCTGGGTCACGGAGTTCTAGGCCTAGACCATTGCTTTTTCTTCGGCCCAAGGTTGGAACCTGAGAGCTGGGATGGCACAGGACTACGGCGTAATATTCACTAATCAGAACTGCAGAGTCAGAGAACTTCCCGAGCCTTGTCTTCAAAGCCCCAATGGTCGACGGGCGGGCGGGCGGGCGGACAATTGTTAAGCAGGCGAGATACCGAGAGCGAGCCTTGGTTGCTGAGCGCAATTCGACATCTTAAGCTTCTCGACACACACACACAACTTGTCTGACTTCACAGCACTCTCATTGTCAACTTAACTTTGGTTGTCAAGGCTATAGCTGCGTACTATTCCACGTAGAACCTTGGACCTACGGCGGGACGATTTACCCGAATCAGAAGGGAAACAGGTCCGTTTACCCCAGAACAAATGCAACGGCATGCTCCTCATCCTCATCCTTCTGGCGGGCCAAGGTTCCTATGGAAAGCTCCCCGACGTTGGAGCCCGCCAACCCTGTGCTTGCGCATGTGTCTGTGCCTGTCAGACAGCTCCCTGGTTCTCTTCTCACAAGCGATCCTTTTCCTCGAGCCAAGTCCGGCATCTATATCACCAAATACTACTGCAGGCCACCATTGGCTCGAACGTCAGACCCTTCGATTGGAGCGACAGGCGGAAGAAGGGTGGGCGGGTACTATGGAATTCAATGCACTGTGGGCAAGGCCGCTTCGCAAGAAACGGGGACTATGAAGCCGGTCCATGTCAACGTTGCAACGGTTGGACGTCAAGGATGTTCTGCAGTACACTAGACGGCGCTCTCTCCCGCCCCTCCAGCACCAGCCTGTGTGCCTGTCTTGTCTTTTTTGGCAACCTTGCTCAACCGAACGCACGGTAGGTTGCGCTAACCTGCCAGTGGCAGCAGAATACCACTATCAAGGCAGTCCTGTACAGTACGGATATGGTTGGGAATCTCTCAATTGTTCCTCATGCTGGTGGTGTTTCTTCTGCCCACTCTCTACTTGACGCAACACTTCGCTACATTGTTTGTGTTTCTTGTGGCAGCCTATGTCACCATAGTTCATCGTCCCGCCTAGGGTCTGATATAGAAATGGAAACAATAAGGTTTGTGACGTCTTGTTAAGGCCACAAGGCGGACCAAAAGGTTACTTTAGCGAGAGTCAAGCGAATACAGGCTTATTGCAATTGGCAAGACTGGGAAATGGACCAGTCAACTCTCACCTTGTCGCGCCTCGAGCATGCTCAATAGACAACTCTGAGTATTCAAGGTACCTTACCCATCCTACTGACTCAATTCGATAAAGAATGATGGGCACCACTAGCCTCATCAGCAAATACCTGAACTACAGCGAGATCAGCCATTGTTCGCACGGGTAGCTCTTCATGGCAGTGGACCTCTGGTTTGTCTGTTCGTTCCCCTCTAACCGATATGAGCATCTCTCGTTGGCGTCTTGACCAACCTGCCGCCACCTCGATGCTATTCGCTCATCTTGGCCATTGTTGTTGGTCCCACGCCATCACCAACCATTTCTCTCTCTATGCTGATCCTTCCGCATGCTGCTTTGCAGGACATCCAAGAGCTATTACCCTGCGGCCGGGAAATTGGATACATCGTGTTGGAGGGTCGCGTCTCGGGCCAGTTGGATGCCAGAACACCGGGGGCTGTTCTTCATCAAACCACACATGACAGCAACTAGGTTTATAATGCAGCTTACGGATAGCTAGCTAGCTGACTTGCAGCCTCGGCCGAGGATATGAGGGACGAAAAGTCATGCTTACGACTCAGCTATTGTCAACTCATCTGTAGGCTGTAGCTAGCTGTATCGCGGGTTGAACCTTGGCGGTTGCAACGCCGTCATTTCCAGAACGCGAACCCTGGGACGTTGTTGGACTTTGCCGCATTCGTGCATTTCTCCTCTCAAGATTCGTGGCCGGGCAGGTCGGCTAGGACGGCCAATTCCGACGCCGTCATTCGCGAGCTACCGTCAGCAAGTCTATCCGCAGACGCGCCGCTCAACGCAACGCATGTCCGCACAGGTTCCACAACGATCAACCACTCCTGTCAGACTGCATGATCGGTCCGAAGGACGCGGGACAAGGCATAGAAGGCATAGAAATGAAGAACACAATTAACCGTATCTTGAAGGAACACTGAGGTGGCAATTGCCAACTAAGGTACGAGAAGGGGAAACAACCGACCTCAGTCATCCGGCCGAGGCTCTAGTTCCAGACCTCGGACGCAACGAAGAAAAGGCCAGCCAAAAGGCAGACACATATCAATATTGCTTGTGCCGTCGCTGCACGTAGAACAAAATCTGGAATAGGCTGCCCTAACTATGGCCTTGAATGCGGAGAAGGATGGGAATCCCGGGGAACACATGCCTGCAGCATGGTCTTCAAAGTCGTCGTTCAAGGGACCGATCTCTAAGGGCTCGATTGTTGTTTCTCGACGACGCGCCTATATTCCGGGAGAGGAACGACATCATTTCCTTCTTTCTTCTAGACTCAGGATTGGTGTTGGTATTCCGTCGATCAGCCCCAAGGCAGCGTCGCGTTGGTTGCAAATAGCCGCAGCTTCACGCAATTATTATCTTCCCTGATGTCTGTATCCACGAGTAGTGAACGGCTGAATTGGATGATCACAGAAGCTGCGGCTCACGACGAGGGCCAGCTAGTCTCTTCCCTTTCTTCAGTTTGCGAATGCTGCAATCGCACGGTATATGGTGTATCTCGACTGAGACTCTGCTGAGGACCGCCGATCAATGGCCGCCGCTTCAGTCCTAACCCCCGCGTACCCTGGAGGACTCGCTGGGATACATGACCCTGCACTGTGCCACAGCTAGGCATTGAGCACATCGTTGCAGCAGCATAAGCTAACGACAGATTCGTCAGTCGGTGTGACGGTCCAACTGCTAGCTGCGTGCTGCCGATGCCCTCAAAGAAGTGCTGATCGGCCTTGCGAGTCTGCAAGGTCCCGCGAAGCTTACATGGAAGCCCAAGAGAAGGCCAGATGGCCTGTTTTCGCGGCCTACGCTACGCCGTGCATGCATGAGCATATTGCCAAAATGCCAGTCTCTACCTACTCCATACCTGTATCACCACTGGGAATCGCCGTGAGATACAATAACCCAATCCTCAGCAATTCTGTTGGGCCAGAGGACACCCATCCCACAGTGTGGACGAAGTCTCTAGGTCGAGGCAGCAATCATCGTACAATACTCTGTACGGATACATATCATTACACCAAACTTAGGCCTTTCCAACTTCAGGCACAAACCACCAACAGGTGAACCGAGTGTCACACTTCTCTTCTACTTCCATCTGGGGAGATGCTGGTGAGACGGGTTCGCGTTCACTGCTCTTGATTAGGTAGCTGTCAATTCTGGCAGAGAAGCTTGGACTCTCGACTGGTCGTCTCGTAACCACAATCTTCCCAAGTCCCAACATGCTTCCAACATCACGCCACAATCACCAGCTCACTTCTCAACACCCATGGCTCATCAGTGCCGTCCGCGGATTACCCAAACGTGACTAATTTTCCTCTGACCGCTGTGTTAGAAATACGGTCGATCTTATTGCAAAGACTGGAGGTGCTACACTAACACTACGGCGAGGATTCTTCAAGGCAATCGTGTCATCGATCGAGAGTTTCAACCGCATTACGACCGCGCCCCGAGCAGGGGAGATCCCGATAGCTTATCCAGACCGGCGCCGGCTCCTCATGTGCCGTCTGCAGTCCCGGTGTTGATGTGTCCGGCTGCATCCAGTCTGTCGCTTTTGAGTCTTGAACACAATGGAAAGCCAGACTCGGGCCATGCTGCCACTGGATGGCAAGCGGCCCAGCTTTCCAGAAATGGACCGTCGTTTCATCTGCTCTGCCTAGTTGAGCGCCGTGAGGCCTTGTCGGCAAGCAATCCCTCTCCAGAAACAGGCGACCGTTGAAGTGGTATCGCGGATCGAATGATGTTCCCTGTCAAACTCCGCGTTGCTTGGACCCAGAGTTCTGCCCGTGCTTCTAGCAGTCCATATCTGCAATAGCAGTTTTTCTATTATAGCGCTTTTCCTATCGCTTTCTCGTCCGTCTCTCGCAGTTTCCGACACTGTTCATCTGTCACGTTGGAGTTTCATCACGTCGACGCATACCAGCCTCTTCTTATACAGACGGCATATATACCGAGTTATCGAGTGCAGATGATGGGGACATCGCCGACGCAGCGTGTAAGCGATGCGACAGCAAACCAAGGTTATCGCCGCGTCCGTCAGAGAGGATCCGGCTCATCGATGCTCCAAACGACCCGGGCATCCTCCGGCCCCCAAAACCGTCGATCCCGGGAGCGACATATGGCTTTCGGACGCCCACCTTCGGATGGTCCATCGACGAGCTAGGCACAACCCAGAGGTTCTTTGTCAATCTCCTACAAACCAGCGCGTAACGTTCCCAGAGGCAGTCCTGTCAAACTTTGTCCGCTAACGCTCGGACGGTAGTGATCAGCAGAAAAGATGAAGGAGGTAGTTGTGGGATGGAGAGAAAAGTTTTCTCCGCCGGCGCTCAGACTCGGGTCTGTCGATCCTTGCCCTAGAGTAGCAGTCCTCTACGAATACTTGGGCAACACCACGTCAGTCGTCAGCCAAGGCTAGACCATGAGGTTGAACGTCTGACGCTGGTCGAACCAGCGGCGGCTATTCTTATCTCTCTGGTCTCACTTTCTGCTCTCATGATACTTCCCCATTGTGTCTGATATCCCGAGCGGTGATAAACCGCCCGATCTGGACCTGACGCCACCAACGTTATTCCCTGTGCTGGCCTATGGATGTTCCCAGAGCAGATCTGATGCGAGAGCGTTTGAATATACGTACTGCATATACACAAACGCGGTGACGACGTCGACAATGGCCTGCAGGGTCATCTTGATATCTGATCTCATTCGATATCACACTTGCTTGGGGTCTGCCTTTGTCGGATACAACCAACGAGATCCCCCTGGCACCCTTGACAGCCCGAACTCTGGCCGTGCGCATCCGGCCCGTTGGTGTTTGGCGAATTGTATGTCTCGGGACGGCTTGATGCCCAAAACCCGCTCGCAGGCAGACTGATGGACAGACTGGCTGAACGATTCGAGCCCCCCGCACAGACAATGAAGACGACGCCGGTCGTGTCGTTGATGGGGAACCCGAACAGAGAATGTTGTGTTTGCATGTTGATGCCGTATTTGCTCGCGCAACTGCCGGCATTCATCGCCGGGGTCGAGGAAAACTATTGGAGCGCGGCGTGGGCGGAACAGTCTTCCCTTCAGGCTTCTACTCCCCTTCACGTCCCCCATGCGAAGGATCGACCTGTTTCGGCCAAATTCGATGGATCGTCCGCCCCAAATTCGGAGGATATTGGCTTGGGATGCGGGAGAAGCCGGGGGGTGAGGGGCCCTTTCTAAGTGGGCAAGCCACCATCGACAGACATGTCCAGGATTGCATCTTCGTGTTCTCTTTTTATCGCGATGGAAATTGGCCCGCAATCTTGTCGATGGGGTTCGTCGTCGGCATCAGGACGGGGTCCCTGCTGCTCGCCGCTGAACGGGCCCTTGCCAGTTCGACCAACAACTCACGAGGCAGACTAGCAGTTGCTGGAGCTTGAAGCTCTCTGTTGCCCGCCGCCACTTCTTCTTGGGGGGCGTCTGACGATACGAGAGAGAGACGTGACTGAAGAACCGCCTGAGCTAGAACAGCTCTTATGAGACGACTTGAGAGGGAATTTCCCGCATAATGTGACTTCCGGTCTGTGGCTCCCCCTCACGTCTCAACGACGACTGTTGGGCTTTGCTAAGGTACCCGTAGCCTCGTGACTAACGCAAGCCCGCCGCGCCACCCTGCAACTAACAGCCT